ACATAGAGTTCCATATTAAAGTTTAAAGACTTGCTCTTGTTCTTAGATTTACTTTGAATCTTCTATTTTATTTGAGATTTCCTTCAAAGATTGTATCTTATTGTTAATATTTGGGATTTCAAAAGAGAACCAACCTTGTTATTTAGGTCTGCCCTATTAATTTGATTAGTAATTTTCGATGGATTCTACTCCTTTGAGTCTTTATTTGATTGGATTGAATGTTTGCTTCCTCAATGCCTTCGTTCATGTTGAAATTCATCATTTTCAAACAGTTTTATCTTGGTTTAGAATTAGGAATTAGTTTGCTAATTTTCCAAATCTTAGATAAATTTGCAATTAGATTGTTAAGTAGGTAATTTCTTGGTTTTCATACTCAAGCAGATTAATTATCCTCTTCTTAATTTGAAAGTAAATTAGGTTAATTTCTGGAATTCAATATGGTATCTAAGTTTGTGTTGTTTTTAGTTAATTTATTTAGGATATTGTGTTTAGTTTAGGATTAGTTCCTTTTTATACATCTTTATGGTTTTAAAGCCTATGGAGTTGTTTAAGGCAAATAGTAACTCATTTTGCAAAACACCACCCTCTGTTATGCAACATCATCTAAGGCGTAGAATAATTCACAGACAGACGTCCTTTTCCAGCCATCCTGCTTGGAGGTTGACCAGTAGAAAGGAGAGGGTTGTGAAAGAAATCCTATTTTCTCATTTTTGAACAAAGAGAGTAATACACCTTAAACCTAGACTCACATGAAAAGGGTTAGCTAAGGATTTTTGAGGAAATAGGAGTACAACATATACTCTAACCTTACATCAACTCAATAAGGCAACGTATCTAGATAAAATTTACTTCTCCTAGCAATGCCCCATGGACTTGGACACATTACAGACATTTCCTAAATACAAACATTAATAATTATGCTTTCAAATAGTCATGCCTATCAACCCACCCGACCACTCAACTTTAAACATCTCAAACAAGTCCTAGGCTGGCAACACCAATTTGATAAAGAGAATTCTTTCAATTGCATTATCCCTCTAACCAAAATGGCACATGTAAGATCTAACTTGTATTAATTCAAAAGACTTATCCACACTTGCAGGTTTATCTTGGAAGACTGAATCGTTTTTTGTCAACCATAAAGACGAAACAATTACAAACCAAATCATCTCCCATAGTTGTTTGATATAGAATTGATAAGTTTAAATTTTATACATCTTTTACATGCCTTTTAATCTTAACTTTTAGCTCTTTGAGTTCTTTGAATCTTATTTTATTTGATTTTACATACTTTTAATCATTTTGGTGTAGGCAACAACCAAATTGCAAAAGACTGAAAAACGAAGGTTGAAAAGGGACTGAACTGAAGAAACTAAAATATTGAGGATTAAATTGTGATATGGACAAAAGATGAGGGACTTAAGTGAAGAAAAAGGCTAGTCTACTAAAGCACACCGTTTTGACCATTGGAGCACTTAAATTGGGGATTTTGGATCCTTTTCGGGAAGCCTACAACAAGAAGGGAATTTTGACGAACTCCTTTTCAAAATGTCTTCACCCAAATATTTTCAAATCCTACCAAATCCATGCAATGAAATGAAAGAAATGAGAAGATATTATATGAGACATGTAAATTTGGCAAGAAGTGAGGGACCTAGAACGTCTTGAAGAGGAGAGGAAGTTAGAAAAAAAAAAAAGTGGGGCGGCAGCATTTTGGGGTAGGAGGAAATGAGTTCTAGCAACAAAGAGGGTGGCTACCCAGTAAGCTGTGCCCTAATTAGTAAAGAGATTTATTTCTTGCCTTATTAGCCGAGATTCAATTCTTTAGGGACACAAATAAGAATATACGTTCTTGTAAATTTTTTAGTTCTAACATATATAGCCTGTCTTTGAGTGGATTAGGAAAGGATTAATCTTGAGGTACATATAAACTAGAAGGCACCCTAATTACTGAATTAAAAAAAAAAATGTAGTTCTCTAATAGTTGATCAATTTTGAGTCCTTTCTTTACTTTTATTTAGAATGAGATTTTCATTACAATTGATTTCTATACATTTAATTGTGAACTAAGTAATTTCTTTCTAGGGTTCTGATTGGATCCAAACCATGAATCTTCAAGTTTTTAGTTGAATTCAATTTTAATTTATTTATTGTTCAAGTAATTTTTATATTTTATACTTAATACTTCTAGTTAAGTTGATCACTCAATTAAATGTTTGAGTAGTTGACACTTGTTTTAGGAAAAAAGTGTTGGAATTGAGTTTTTGAATAAAATAACATAGGTTGTATCAAATAAAAATATACTTATAATACTTATACAGATCCAAAAGAAAAATAATAAGAATTAATAATGTTTTTATTTATTTTGGTTTATCTAGGAATATAAAAAATTAATAAATTAGTAGCCAAATATTGCTTGGTCATTGGAAAGATTAGTAATTTATATAGTATTTGCACTAATTAATCTAGTCATATAAAATTATATTATGT